TCTTGACAAAAATGAAAGGGGAATTATAGCTAGGAATGATCATGGGTAGGGTTGAGTTTTTGATTCATCTCAATTTGATTTGAAAAATAAATTTATTTATTCACGTTCAACTTGATTCAGGTTTCAGAGATTTCCTTCTAATATGATTTTTAGGTGAAAACTCGTACCGATCCAATTCGTCACAAATAAATATATGAAAAAAACATTTTATTAGATAAGGACTTAACTGGAAAAAATACAAAAAGTGTATTATTATTAATTAAAATTATCTTTAAATATATAAAAAAATATAATATTATATTAGGTCGTGCCAATTTTTTTTACCCTAAATCCGACTTGATCTGACCACATCTTAAACAAACAATTTAATCTTACCCAAATTTTCAAAAGAAAAAACAATCGTATCGGATTAAATCAAAACCGTCGGAATAAAGTGAAATGCACATCCCTAATAACCCGGCACAAGCATAGCCATCCATATATAAAATATTCATTATTCAAAGGGCTTGAAAAGATAAAAGAGAGGTGTCATCATAAGTAGTGGGAATTAGGAGCTTTGGCAATGGCATATCCCTTGGAAGATGCTGAGTCTGGCAACCAACCTCCACTTCTCTTTTTCTTCCAAACGAAAAAGTGATGACACATTTTCAATGTATTATATGCTTTTATGCATTAAAATTAAGAGCCACAGCAACCCATACAAAGCTTTACTATAAGACCCCTCATTAGTTCTACACCACCACTCCCCAGGCCACCCCTGCCGGTGGCTTCAAATGCTCAAACCAACTAACCACGTAAAGGGGCTGGCCTAGGCTCTCTTGGTTCTTTGTCGATGACGCTTTCCTTTTTCTCCCATGGTTAGTCTCAGTCATTTCCGGTTAGAGTTGATCGAAAACCGATCTCCCTCGAAAGACGGATTCTCTTATAGGGCAGCTTCGATCCTTTGGCGTTTTCGCTCCCACTACACCATCTCTTTTTTACGTCGTTATATGATCCAGGACAAGTCCGACTGTACCATCTTTTGTTAGTATGTTCAGTTCGGTTTGTGGCTTGCATTTGCAGAACATATTTGCTTTGAATTATCCTAAGTTTATGACAGGTTGATTGTAAGGTTATGATATCTACGAAGATAAAGGCTATACCTTTAACGAAGTCATATATTATTCCTTCAAAATCATTTAAACCTTTTAGTTTGTCATCACCTCTTAACAACACAATTGATAAATTTAAGAAATCTAACAGGCTCAAATCCATTGATTAGTGACTGCATATATCCATTTACGAACGGAAATTATAATTTTAAGTCTGACACCATCACACATAAGGGATCGAAATATAAACCCTTAAAGACCCCGAAAGAAGTGCACGACTCTATTCAATTCAATTTATATTTATGATTTTATTTTGAATATATATATTTATTATGTGAGTTCATGAATTTTTATCTCTAAAAATAAAAACTCAGATACAATTTCAGATAACATTATTGTCAATTTATTTTGTTTCTTTGAATTTTACGTGAACAAATAAATTTTAAGAATTTATAAAAAAAAATTTATTAGTATGATATTTTGATATATAATTTACATTGAAAAAGTACTAAAATGTTTTAATTAATATATACACTTTTTTAAAATGATCCCCAAGTAGATAATGTTGTGTTCTGCCACTAGCACGAATCAATTTATATCGGTAATTAAAAAAATCAATGTTATTATTAGAGGTTACAAGTTCAATCATCAACGGCTGTAGTAGGGTGATTGAGCGTTCTTGTGAGCTAATCTATAGCTTCTCAAACCATCCAGTAAATAGATCCATCAATAACAATGCATTCGCTTAACGTGAAGCCCTCTACAATGCTAGTTAAATAGAAAAAGAGAAAGCTGATTTTCAATAAAATATAAGGTAAACTATTTAGTATATAAACTATCAATTTTTGTACGTTTTAGTACTTAAATTTTTATTTTTTTAAATCATACCTAAACTATCCTCTTTGGTCTGTTTTAGTGCCTAAACATTTAAAAAATTCAAAATTTCAAGTTAAATTTTGTACAGGGTACTAATATGAAACAAAATTAAACTTTAAGTATGATTTTAAAAAATTGAAAGTTTATATATTGAAATGAAACAAAACTAATAGTTTAGGTACTAAACCTAAATTTTACCCTAAAATATAAGGGACAAAGTAAGAAACGTATAAACTCCTATTTTTCAATTGATTACATGGGTCTACCTAAATGCGCGCGCGCACACATATATGTCTAGGGGCGTATTTAATTTTATTTAGTTTTTTTTAATGAAAAATGAATTAAATTGTATTGTGTATTTTTTAAAAATGAAATTAAAAATAGAATTAAATAATAAAAAATAAAAGCTTTTGGTTCAAATGATTTAATTTGACAGGTTTTACTATTGATCATTTTTCAAGTTTAACATTTAAAAAAATTCTTTTTTTACGAAAAAAAATAACTAATTTTATTAAAAATAGAAAATATCTGAATTATAAAAAAGGTTTACAATCACAATAATAAATTAAATACATAATAAATATATATTTTTAAGTACGAGAAAACTAATCACTTTAGACCATATGATACCATACAAGAAAACAGTTAAAAAATCTAATCAAATAAACTCTGATAAAAGGTAGAAACGAATATATATGTTCACATCGGCAAATGAACTACAAAAATGGATGATGCTATTGATAGATCATCGACAAATTGTAAATCAGAATTAAGTAACGTGAAAATAATATCCACGAACGCAAATCGCATATTCAAATCCAATCCAAAGGTTCAAAACAGAGAAGATATACATGATAACAAATAAAGCACAATTTTAATTAGTCTGTCGATATCAAATCCAATCATAAAAAAGGATAAACGGAAATAATGACCAAACAACCGGAACGTGCCATAAAGGTATAGAAAAACGTACAATAAAGATAGATGAAGACGTGTCATAAAGGTAAAATTATTTTTAAAAAATACGTTATAATAAATAAAAAAACAATGAATAATTACGATCGGCGATCAACATCAAGGCTGATTTCGCTGCGGATCACAAAGGTGAAAAAGAAAATAGAAAAACGAAAATTGAGGAAAAATATATTTTATACAAAATGTGAAAATTAATTCAAATTGGATAGATTTTATAATGAGTTTGTTTTAACTTATTAACTTTATTTAATTTATTTGAAATAAATAATTTCATATAAGAAAATTGAAATCAAATCGAAATATAGAGATCAAGAATTTAAACTGACTTAAAATTAAACTTAAAAATAAAGAATTTAAACTAAATCATATAATATTAGGTAAATTATACATTTAGTATATAAACTATTACTTTTATTTCATTTTGATACTCAAATATTATTTTGTTTTAAAATCATATCTAATGTTTAGTTTAGGTTTTATTTTGAAAATATGTCGCTAAAAACTTAATAGTGGTGTTGAAGTGTCCCCATAAGATAATGCCACGTTATCATTAAAAAAGCTTGAAAAAATACCACATCATCGGTTCTGTTATTTATTTAACACTCGATACCAAATTAAAACCTAAATTAAACATTACGTATTATTTATATAAAAAAAATTTAATAGAAGTAACAATTTTATTTAAAATATGAAATATCTCAAATTACAATAAAGATTTACAATCACAATCATACATTAAGCACATAATTAGGAAAATTTCTTATAATCATTGAAACAAAACTAGGAACTTAAGGCCACATAAGGACCACACAAGAAAATATTAAATCTAACCAAGAAACTCAAACAAATATAGATACAAATATATATAATCGCATCGATAAAACAAACCACAAAAGGAGATCAAGCTATTGAAAGACCACCGTCAAATTGTAAATCAGACTCGAACGATGTAAAAAGCTATCCACGAATGCAAATCGGGTATTCAAATCCAATCCGAGGGTCCAAATAAGGGAAGATCAACAAGATATCAGATAAACGTCATATTGATCAGTCGTGGCGATGTCAAATCAACCTTTAGAAAGAAAAAAAAGATAAATGAAAAAATGACTAAATAAAAAAACCATGTCAAAAAACATAAGAAAGTGTACCATAAAGGTAAATAAAAACATGCAACACAAGCAGACTTATTGAAGATAAAAAAAAAGAAAATAAAGATATGATATAAGGAAGAAAAAGATAATAAAGAATACGACGATCGACAACCAACATTAAAGTTGGTGCCGTCACCTATCAACAAAGACGAAAAAGAAAAGAGATAAGCGACAAATCAATAAGAAAAAAACTAGATTTTTAAATTCTAAAGAAAACAATATTTAAAAAAATAAGACTTGAATACTAAATAAAATAAAAGTAATAATTTAAATACTAAACATATATTTTATTTTATAATCTAATTTAAATCATTTTTTAAATTTTGTTGATTTTATTATTGGGTCTTATAAAATAGTTGTATTTTGGGCTGGCTCAATACACTCTTAAGTGCCTAAACTATACTTCAAATTGATTTGTGATGCCTAAAGAATTTTTCATTAAAAATAAATGCATAATATTTTCTTCGTTATACTTTTAGGTGTAGATCATTAAAAAAATCATTAAATGACATATGTCACGTCCAAATTTAATTTTTTTACAAATAATATTTTATTTTAGAAAACATAAAAATGTAAACATGACATGTGTTACTTAAAACTTTTAACGATAAAAACTTAAAAATTAACTGAAAAAATATTAGACACGTATTTTTAACAAAAAAAAATCTTTAAACATTAAAAATCAATTTAAAATATAATTTAAGCTAGTAAAATTATAATAAGCCTTTAGGGCTTGATAGCCCAGAAAGCAGGTAGAATATTAGGCCCCACTGAGCCTCAAATCGAATAAACTTTCCCCACTCTGTTATTTACGGATCTTGCCATCTCCCACCTTCCCCTTACAAATGGCCCATCTCATTGGTCCTCCCAAAAAGAAAAAGGGACCCCCAAAATTTCATGGTTCTCTTTAATTCTAAAAAATTTACTCGAAAACCCTAAATTTCCTCAAATCCGATCTCAGCATCCTCCATTTTGATTTCCTTCACTCTAAATCAAATCTTTCATGGTACTTGTCCGATCATAATCGGCAAAGTTCTTTACTCCACTGCAGCTAGGTTTCTCGATTTTTTTATTCTTTATTTGGTGAAAGAGTTTTGAATATAATATTATTGTTACTCGTTTTGTTATGCAGAATTTTAGTGGATTTTGAGAGTTTAAGTGAGCCATGAAGCGGGAGTTGGATTTTGGGTTGGATGGTTCAGTCAGTCCAACTCGGGAGTTAGTTGCTCAGTCTCAAACTCAGGCGAGTTCTAGTACTAGTTGTAATAGAGTTATAGGTACTCAAGTGAATGGTTACATTGTTTACACTCGAGTTAAGAAGTCAAGAACTAATTATGGTGTTGAAATTTCGGAGAATTTAAGAAACAAAAGTAAGCCGGTAAATGGTGTTAAAGAGACCTTACTGGATGAGGATCAGGAGAATAAAACTTTGATTGAAGGTCGACCACAAAATGAAAACGACGCTAGGGATAATGTGGTAGTAGAAAATGTAGTTGATGAGAGCTTATTTGTGGGAGATTTTGTTCAAGGTGGTCCACTTGTGGAGGCTCTCATTGAAGAGAGCCATATTATTGGGGAAAATGCCATTGTAGGGAAGTTGGTAGTTGAGGAAATTGGAAGAGATGGTAGGCCTGTTGTTCAATCATGGCTTCATGAAGTGTCTAATTATAATTCAGCAATGTCCATGTCTAAAGAGGATTCAGTGAATGAGCCAGAGACATGTCTTGTTGATAAAGGATGTTTTGAAGGATCATCAATGCAGATTTCTTATATTAGTGATGGAAGTAATGATGATGCATTTTTGAAGGCCCTGAGGCAGTCTAAACAATCTTTAACGAGACCAAAGTTTGAAGCAGTAGACAATTTGGAATGTGAACAGCATGCTGTTGAAAATGTTATAGTTTCAAATTTTGGTGGAGAGGAATCAGCTGAAGAAAGCGAATTGACGACTTCCATGAAGAACTTGGAGCTGAAAATGTCAAAAAAGGTTGCCCTGACTAAGTGTCCAATGACAGTTAAAGAGCTATTTGACACTGGTTTACTTGATGGGGTTCCTGTGGTTTACATGGGCACAATAAGTAGTAAGGTGGTTCCTTGCTGCCTCGGTTATATGTTATCCTTTTTGTTTTCAATATATGGTCTATTTTTTCCTTTCAAATTTAATTACAGTGGGTAGTTTAAGCCTTAATATTAATTGTATATGTATTTCAGACAGCTGGCCTTCGAGGAATCATTGCAGATGGTGGAATTTTGTGTTCATGCTCCTTGTGCAAGGGACGTAGAGTAAGGAATCTCTTCTCTAAATTGCAATTTTGGATTCTATGGAATTCCATAAACTAATAATTGCTATCATTGAACTTCTTCTTTCCTTTGTTTTCTGTTTAGGTTCTTCCTCCATCCCAATTTGAGATTCATGCTTGTAAACAATACAAACGTGCAGCACAATATATATGCTTTGAAAATGGGAAAAGCCTACTTGATGTGTTAAAGGCATGCAGGAGAAGACCTTTGCATGCTTTAGAAGCAACAATTCAAAACATCCTCAGTGCTTTACCTGAGCAAAAAAATTTTACTTGTAGAAAATGCAAAGGTGACATTTTCTGTTGTTAAATTCATATATTATTGACCGAGCCAATTAGCAAGAATGGTTTTGTTAGAAGATATCTTATTCTCTTTTTGTGTTATTCACTTGTTTCTAGGTTGTTTTCCTGTACTACATGTTGGGCAAACAGGGCTGCTTTGCAATTCTTGCATAGAGTCAAAAAGATCTCAGTGCAGCATAATAAGTTCACCCAGTGCAGGAGCTAGGTGTGCATTCTTAAGCTTTAATCTGTTGATGTCTCGTTTTCTATAGTTGGGTTGATTAGGGATTTCAGATTTGATGTTCTTCAGTTAAATTTTCTATTTGTTTGACGACTGCACTGTTCTGTAATGAGAATTTTGTTAACTATTCATGATCAGTAAATCTTCTTGATAACCAAGCATGTATAGATTCATGTCTTTGCATGATATTGACGTGGTTTTCATTGTACATTCAACAATAATTTATTGATACATGGTAGAAAAGTTACATTATTCTAAGTTTATTTGGCTGATTATCATTCTATATGCATGTTCCGTAAAAATGCAATTTTTTCATCCTTTCCTTCGTTGTATATGAAACTGATTTATACGGCATTAAGTTTCTTGTAAGTGATAAGTAAATACTTTTTTTTTGGATAAGAAATGAAGGTCTCGTTAAAAAACCCCTTCATAATTACTAGAACACCATATGGTATTCCAGTAAACAGCGGAAGGAGGAAAAGAGTACCTCAAATTTTATTAATAGGAAACAATACAAAACAGATAAGTACAACAAAACATTCAACCCAGCTCAGGAAATATTTTTTTTGATTGCAAGCAGAAAACATCATTGAGATAATTAATCAGAAAAAGCCTTGAAATGCACATCAGGGATGGACTCCACAAGGAGGAACTGTGGAAGTGGTGTCGAAATCTAAGAAAATAAGAGAGGTGTTATCCTTTGTTCGCAGAGTTCGAGCCTCGTTCAATAAAACATCAGCAATCTTCTCTGCCAAATTCCCCTTATCGTTCGAATATCTCTCCCTCGTCTGTACAACTATCTGAATTGCCTTCTTAAAGCTAATAACATCCCACAATCCATCACTTGCCAGTAGCGCAAATGCCCTGCTTGTTTTATTGATACGCACAACTTGACTTATATAGGGCTCAGAACTAAAGCGGGAATCTTGCTGTTTCACAAATTTGTCTCCAAGCATTCTAGCGAGGTTCAAACCACATAACCGCTTTAGCTAAAGTGTCTGCTTCTAAGTTTGCTGGTCTAGCTATCCATCCGAGAAAACCTTCCAAGCTTCTGTTTCTAGCCGCTATTTCTTTAGTAATTGAAACATAAATACTCGGACATTCATCCAAGTATTAAAGTATAGAGATCATTTCGTGTGGTTGAATTGTTTTAGTTTGATTTCACATTACTCTTGATGTAATGTTCCTGACATATGTCATTACAAATATTAAAGGTTACATTTTGTATTTTCTGTCCTATTTTTTTTTTAATTTAGATCACCAGAACCAGCGGTGATGTCGAAGTCTGTTGGAAGTGCATCATTGAGTATCACTACTCCAAGTAAGAGTCAGTGGAATAAAGCAAGCAAGTTAGTATACTTTTTTGCCATCATTTTTGGCTTGTGAATAATCCATCGACTATTTTTTTAGATGAGATGAATTAATGATATTTTATGCCTTTTTTATGTGCCTCCTGCATTGTTTCAGGTCATCAGAGCTGTATATGACATCAAATTCACCACATTGTTCTTCATTGTCTATTTCTTCACAAAATAGTAGTCCATGGAAGACAACAAGAACGTTGGTGACCTATTTTATCTTATTGTTTCCCATTACTGTCTCATAATCCTGTTTTTAACCATTTTCACACCATTCATGAGAAGGAAATAGTTCTATTTTAGAAGCTGTGTAGTTGTGACATGTGGTAGTTTAAACTTGAAATAATGTTTCTCTTTAAATGAGTTATAATTAGTTCATCGTGCCTTTATATGTTGTTTCCAGGTTAACAAAGCCAGGGTTATTCACAAAGTCATTTAAGAGTGCTTCAGTGCATATTTCCTCGCAAGATAAAGGCCAATGGAGAGTAAAAAAGAAGTTAGTATAATTATTTTTTGTCATTTTATGATTGTATGTTTCTAGCTTCTGATTTACTTACTATACTTGCCAAGTTCTGAGACACGAGGACCTGTTTTCAATGAAACCTTTTCTCATTGTCTTTGGTTTTTTCTTCTTAATTTCCCTTTTGTGCTTTTATTGGAATTTCTCAGGCCAGTGAAACCAGTTTTGGTGTCAAAGACCTTAAAAAATTCTTCACCTCCGATGCACTCACCCAATGGAAGCCAATGGAAGATGACGACGAAGTTGTTATCTTTTTAATATAATTTTCTGGACTAAGCTCTGCATTTTTTTCTGATGGTAACTCATTTTCATGGATTTCCCCCCCAGGGATCAGCGATTGCATAAGTTGGTATTTGAGGAAGATGGACTGCCCGATGGAACAGAAGTCGCATACTATGCCCGTGGACAGGTAATTGAGATAAAAGTAATTCATTTTATGCCTTTGTATCTCAACGGTGTTTAAATTGTCATTAGTTTTATTGGGCAGAGATTGCTTGAGGGTTACAAAAAGGGCTTTGGGATAATTTGTCGTTGTTGCAATTGTGAGGTATTGTTCTTTTATTGCTCGAGCTTCTAAATTTTGCAATTTTATTGTGCGTCTGTTTATGCTATTTTCTTTTTTATCGTGCAGGTTAGCCCATCACAGTTTGAAGCTCATGCTGGTTGGGCTTCTCGTCGAAAACCGTATGTTTTCATATCAGATGCTTTTCTACTTTCTTCGTAAGTTTCTTTATCTTTCCAAGTATATCTTGATTATATTTATTTGTGTTTTTGACAGCTATGCACACATTTACACTTCTAATGGGGCGTCTCTACATGAACTGGCAATATCTCTCTCAGAAGGTCGTCGTTATTCTTCCAAGGATAACGATAACACATGTATCATTTGTGCAGATGGTGGAGATCTTTTGCTTTGTGATGGATGCCAAAGGGCCTTCCATAAAGGTTTCAATCATAATAATCGAGAATTTCTGTTAATTTTAATTAGGAAATCTATGTGTAGATGGTTTGCTCTTGTTTACTTGGCTTCATAGCTTTACTTTGTGGTATTTTTGGACATATAAGGCTTCATTTATTTTTCTCTGGGGTTTAGGATTGATCTAAACGGTTCCACTATTTTGTTTTATGAATAATGATTATTGGGCAAACAGTCTTAGGTCTCTAATCCCTGTGACAGTAATGTGTCCCTATGTATGCTTGAGATTTACTATAACTAAACTTCTGGCATTGACAATTTAGCTGATAAAAAAATTATATGTTTTAAAGAGAATATGATGAGATAAGGAGGGGGGGTACAGTTTTCTAATGTGCAGTATGAACATTGAATGTGATGTTCTATTCAAAAAATGTACGCACAGAGGAAATATATAGTAGCTGGAGTTTATTTTTGGCATTACATATTAAAATGGATCTATTCTCCTATTGTCTCTCTGTTGCATCGCATGATATCAAATTTTTTGTAGGCATTTTGCACGGCACATTTACTATTAACTAGACCTTTGATTTTAAACTTAAGAGATTCAGACTCTTGTCTTATCTTCAAAGTTGGTTGCACATAGCATTATTGCCTTTTTCTGGTTTTGTTTTCTATGACCTGTTAAAGATTATTGTATTTGCCTCTGAAGACTATGTACAACTCGATTTCTTCGATAGATACTTGATAGCTACTTTATTGATCTATGCAGAATGTGCATCGCTACCCACAATTCCTCATGGTCGCTGGTACTGCAAACATTGCCAGAACTTGTTTATGAGAGAAAAGTTTGTGGAGCATAATGCTAATGCTCTTGCTGCTGGAAGGATTTTAGGAGTTGATGCTATAGAACAGATAACCAGCAGATGCACTCGAATTGTGAAAAACTTTGAGGCAGAACTTAGTGGATGTGCATTATGCAGGTGATGTGTATACACTAGGATGAATCTGATTGAAGCTTATAGTTTCCAACGACTTTATTATATAGTTTGCATGGTGATATTTTTTCAAATTTCAGTAGTCCCGCTTTAAACACACTTTGAATTGGCTTGGAATTTGATAAGAGCAGCAAACTTCATGGGTTCTTATAAGAATTGTTGTTCATTTGAATTTATTTTATATAGGGCATGTGATTTTAGCAAATCAGGATTTGGACCTCGGACAATTATACTGTGTGATCAGGTATAATGTTAATTTTCATTTTATCCTGTTTTCTATCTTGGCCTTCAAGTCTACTAAGGATGTTTTCTTTTAATTGTATTTCCACTGATATCTGTGATTTTTTAAATATTTTGGACCAGTGCGAGAAAGAATATCATATTGGCTGTTTGAGGACTAATAAAATGGCTGATCTAAGGGTATGTATTAGTCTTATTATTTTTGTCTCTCTGTTGATCATATGATATGAAACTCTCGTTCCTGTTAATTGGAATTGCTTTGTTGTTAATGGATGAAATAACTGAGTCCAGTTGTACAACAGGAAATACCAAAAGGGAAGTGGTTTTGTTGCTCAGACTGCAGTAGGATCCATTCTACGCTACAGAGATTGCTCACTTGTGGAGCTGAAAAGCTTCCAGCCTCACTTTTGAATGTTGTAAGGAAGAAGTATGTGGAAAAGGGTTTAGATGCTAATATTAATATTGATGTGAGATGGAGGCTTCTTAGCGGCAGATTTGCTTCTCCTGAAACTAGATTGTTGCTTTCTCAAGCTGTTGGTATCTTCCATGTAAGTCTCTTCATGTTTTATTCAGATGTTTCTTCTAGAACCGATTGTTATTGCCAGTGTTGACAAACAGTGAAAATGTGATTTTCTCTGTAATTATTGCAATTATTATACGTTTATTTTCTACTATTTATTTGAAATATGCTTCTCGGGTTGAATGTGTTTCATGAAACATCAGTAGCACTGTAAATTTTATGCTATTTATTCTCATTCTTTCCTCTTTTTCTTTATCCTTTAGTTTTCTTTTCTCCCTTCTGCCACAGGGGTTGGGGAAAGGCTAAATTGTATTTGTCAAACATAAAAGATGTATGGAGTGGAGACATGTCTTAACTTATTCCTCAAAATTTTACTGATTCTTTTTTCCATTAATTTCAAGGAATGTTTCGACCCTATAGTTGATGTAACAACTGGGAGGGATCTTATCCCATGCATGGTATATGGGTAAGCATGAGACCTTTTCTACTGCTTGATATACCTTGTTGCATTGATACCATAAGTGCTATCCGATTTTTTTTCTTTGACAAACTTGCCTCTCTCACAGGAGGAATTTGAAGGGCCTAGAGTATGGGGGAATGTACTGTGCAGTTTTGACAATCAAGTAAGACCTATTTGTATAACATTTAAAGCTCTACATTGTTTTATAGAACATTGACAGTAGTATCTTTTGCTGGTGCTGCAGTTCATTTGTTGTGTCAGCTGGGATAATTCGAATTTTTGGGCAACAAATTGCAGAACTCCCTTTAGTTGCTACCAGCATCACTAACCACGGGAAGGTGAGGCCAATGGTCCCGATTTTTGTCTTTATGACCTTTGCCTAGAATGCGAATCTTGTTTTGGTAGCTGTAATCGACTGGAACTTATCTGATTTGGAACTGGACAAACCCATCAAACGAGTTGAAGAATATCCTTCATGCTGACCCCTTGGAATCGCCTTTCCTATACTCTTAGTTCCTTATGATTTTACCAAATTATTAGTTTTGAGTGCGTAAAACACGTACACTTTTAACAGTTGCTCTATCCTACAGGGTTACTTCCAGTTGTTGTTCTCTTCCATTGAGAAGTTGCTGGGGCTCTTGAATGTCAAAAGCATTGTGCTTCCAGCTGCTGAAGAAGCGGAATCGATCTGGACAGACAAATTTGGTTTCAGGAAGTTAACACCAGACCAGGTTAGTCACCGCTCCATAATGTGCTTTTCTTCCGTAACCCTAACACGACCGCCATGTTACTCAAAATTCCGTCTCCCATGCGCTCCAGCTTAGTGAATACCGAAAAAACTGCAACCAGATGGTGATTTTCAAAGGAACTACGATGCTACAGAAAGAAGTTCCTCCATGTCAAGTTGTTTATGGTAAAGAGCGTACGGAGTTGCGTAATGGTACGGACTAAAGGAGACGTTCTGTGAGTATTTCTTTTTCTTTTTTTATTTATGGGACGTAGATTTTTCATACATATAAAAAAGTGAGCTTAATTTGTGAAGAGTGAGCTCAGATGTTAAAATTTTCTGATACCAGCACGAGACTTGAATTTAGAGGAATAGTGAATAGGTCAATATTTGATTAAAAGGTTTTTTAATGGTTCCCATGGATCCATGGGAATGATACATCACTTCAGCCTTTTGTCATACAATAAATATTAGGGTCGAAATGCTTGAAAAAGAGAAGGGCGAACTATTGAAATGAATATTTACCTTTCATTTATGTACACTTTTGCTCACCAAATTAAAAAATGTTTAGTCACTTTCATTATCGTTCCACTAAGTTTGTCATTGGGACATTGAATGTTGTTAAGTTGATCAAGTTGATCGCATGAATAAAAGGGTTAAATTTTTTAACCCCTGAATTTTAAATAAGGTACTTATTATTAGTCCTCTTTATAAATCCAAAATAATTTAGGGACAAAATTCTAAGTTTTTAATTTTTTGAATATGTTTTTCTTTGACCTTCACTTTGTCCTCCGCCAGCGCTGCACACCCCTGCCCATAAGTTGTTCGTCTTTCATGTCACCGATTGTTTTCTACTGATGGTATGTTTTTTTCCTAAAATTTTTTATGTTCATTCACTTAAAATTTATAACTTCGTTAAAATTTTATAAATCCGTTCCCCCAACAACAAATCATACATTCCCACCTATGTACTATCTGTCCGAAAATCAATCTTAAGCATTTTAGGGGCCGTTTGGTTCACGACATATGAGATTATCGGAGGGATGAAATCTTTATTCTCCCGTTTAGTTAGTTAGTAATCTTATTTCCGGAATCTTTTATTTCCAACATTGGATTTTTTAGGGTATATTACCGGGAATGTGATTATTTTTCCCCGACGTTTTAGACTAAAATGTCCTTATATTTTTTTTCTTTCAAAAACATCTTTTTTCTGTCGTTGAATAATAAAAATTCTACGAATATTAAATTACAAATTTATTCTTAAACTATTTTAGATTTACAAAAAAATAAATTTATAATTAGAATTTTATATAAAGTTCAGGGGTTAAAATAAAATTTTATCTTTTTATTAAACCTATTTATCTTTTCAATTTTGTAAAAAATATGTATAAATTTTATGAATTTAAAATTTTTAAAGAAAATATATAAATTAATTATAGTAATATTATAGTAGAATTTAACTTGTTAAAAAAATAAATATATAATAAGGAAAATTTGGTAAAATATACATTTCAATAATCACTGTAATTTTATATTCTTGTTAAATCAACTAAATAAAAAATACAATATTTCTAATAATCTTATTTTTCGGTAATCTTTTATTTCCACTGGTAATCTTATATTCCGTGAATCAAATGCACCCTTAGTAATTCCATCTCCAATGGTATGAATAACACGTCTATTATACAATATCTAAATCAAATCCGGACAGTGATTCGGTCGAGATATAATTTAGTTACTTAAAAATGTATTAAGCCTTGATTAAAAGAATTTTCAAATTGCGGCTTGGAGCCTTTTATGGTCAATTATCCTGCATGAAATTTCGATTATGATATCATTCTCAATAAATTGAATATCTATTTTCTCAAGAATCGTCCCAATTTTCTGCTATTGAATATACATTATTGTCAACAACTTCATCTTTATAGGAAGGGATCAATCGAGAATTCAAGTGAGTTGAATCTACACCAATCCTATTCTCTAATGCCGACTTATTTTTCACAATCCATTTCGTACCAAAACAACCATTGTCTATACCACCTTCCTCCGGCGGTTCCTCCTGACGACGACGGTCCTTCTTGATGGTCTTTAAAGAAAGACATCCGATTAAGATCAGATATGAAAGGGAGACATTTTTTCTTTTTAATTTGATGAACATTTTGAATAAAGATGTTATTGGTATCATCCGAATTTAGCATTGTTTTTTTAATAATCTGAAGTGTGTGCGTTGCCGATGAAGACAATTATAACACTTTTCAGGTGTAAATTTTGTTAATGAATACCAAACTATTAGATTTTAGTTAAAATTTATAAAATTTAGTATATAGTGGAGTGTGATATGATAAATGTTAAAAAGTTTCAAACGTGTTTCATGCAGATGCAGTAGGCCCTTATATGGGTCAAGTGTAGGGATGTTTAATTAGTTGAGTAGCTCGTGATCAGCTCTAACTTGACTCGGTCAAAGTTCGATAAAATCTTGACTTGATATGATTCGACTCGAACTCAAGTTCGACTCCAAACCTTAACTAATTGATTCGAGCAAAGTTCAACTCGACTCGATAAGTTCGCGAGCAGCTCGTTAATATTTTTATAATTTTTCAGTAGTTATCTTATAAAATTATTTCATTCAAAAAATATTAATTTACTAATAGATAATAAAAAAGATGATGAATTGCTAATCTTAAACAACAACAAAAAAATACTAAATTATTAATTAGTATTTTACTACACTCAAAATCAAACCGTATTTATTATTTTAATGTATTTGTGGATTGATATTTTGGAGTTTAGACTCTGAAATTGTTTCATACATTCTTTTGATAATATTTTTGGTTAAATTAATTAATTTATGTTTATATTAAGATTTGTATAGTATTTGTAGATTTTATCTATAATTAAGAAAATAAGGTAAAAATTTTAGTGAGCTTAACGATCATCGAGCTTAACGAGCAACTAATCGAGCAACAAGTTTTTTAACGAGCACGATTCGAGAAACAAAATTTTTTAACGAACACGAGTCGACCATTGTCTAACTCGCGATCCATTTTTAGGTTTTTGTATATGTCACTGATTTCGTAGTGGGTTACCTAGAAATTTCCAATTTAAAAAGTTCTTACCTAAAAGCCAATTAGGACCTGGTCCTTAACTTTTATTTTTTAAGAGAAGTCTCCGATGACAACAAACATGCACTTGCACCATTGGCCTAATAGTATAGAATTAAATTGATATTATGTTGTCTAATCGACTTTGGCATTATAAGATATTTCTTAATTAAGAAATCTACTGTTGGTGGTTAAATTACTATAAATTTATGATGAATATTCCAATGAAAGATACTCGTTTATTTTTTTTTTACGAGTATGAGATAATTTTAAGGTAATATTTATTTATTATGATAGAATTAACATTCTAATTTAAGAGATGAAATATAATTATGGTTGAAAGTTGGGAAATAATTTTTAATTATTTTAATCGCTCACTCTTTCCTTAGTCGTTCTCTCTCTCCTTTGTCTTCTTGTTTTCTCCCTTTTTTTATTTGAGTTTATATCGTATTTTATAGATCAGATCAACTTCTTCTTCTTTGATTTTTTAGCCGTCGGCGACATCGGCATTGATGACCGTTGACTCTTTTTTCTCTTTGTTTTTCCTTTTGTTTATAATAAAAGTTGTTTTGTCTGTGTTGCACGTTTATCTCTACTTTTGTGATACGTTTTTCGATTTTTTTCTCGGTCGTTTGTCCGTTCTTTTATTTATATTTTCTCAGGGTTAGATTTGACGACACTACGACTGATCAAGATAACGCTTATTCTAAATCTTGTTGATCTTCTCTGCTATAAACATTTGGATCGAAATAACTTAATTCCTTTTTTTTAGTTCGTTTATCGATGCAATCAGATTTATTCGTATTTATTTTAGTCTCTTGGTTGAGTTTTTAACATTTTCCATGTATGTGTCCTTATATGATATAAAGTGAATATTTTCAATGTTATAGGAAAAATCCAAATATGTATTTAGTTTATGATGATAATTATAAACTCTTATTGTAATTTCAGATATTTTCATTTTTTAATAAAACTAATTGCTTCTATTAAAAAAATTAATTATCTTGTAACCCCCATAGATCGATGCGGGTGGCCTAATCCTATCCGGAGTGTCACATTAGGGTCACCAGAGCGACCCACCGTAAAAATCTCAGAAAATTAAATATTTTGTTAAAACATGTAAAATCATAAAACAATTTATAAATACAAAAGTAAAATTTATCAGTATTCAGAAATAAAACAGATTTCAAGCTCGGATATAAAACAAAATACAACCTACATGCCCCCTAATCACATACATCGTAAGCAACGCCGGTGGAACCCCTTAATGAAGTCGATAGTTGCACTGGTTCAATCCTTTTAACCTGAAATATTGAGTAATAGAGTGAGCTTTAGAAAGCTCAGTAATACAATACTACCAGATGATGCTGAAGAACATGCAGATAACAAATAAGCATATGTTTTCTTATTAATTTAGAGATCTACATACTTTTATGCAGAGCTGAGGTCATAGTGATATTTCAGGTAGTAAAAGACAATAAGCTATCAATTCATAGGAAATGTTTCAGATAACTGGGTTCAGGAGATCATAATAGGATGTCTAGTGAGTTTTCACAAAACCAGTAAAAAGATATATATCTTTTTAAAATAGTAGCAGTTTAAAACGTATTTTTCAAAAACATATTTTTCAAAAACTATAGTAATCCTTTCAACCGAACACCATATGCAGTTCCCCAGAACTACATAACCTAAGAGAACACCTTGGGGCCTGAGAGCCTACCCAAAAAAGATTCTTGGGGCCACAAAACCTACACAAGGGCCGCCTTAGGTCCATAAGGAATTACCAGTCGATGTTGAACCTATACAAGGAATTACCAACATCGACTGAACCTGTCAGAGATAGGAATTACCAGTCGGTGCTGAACATATACAAAGAATTACCAGCAACGATTGAACCTACCAGAGTCTTCATACCAGATCCCAGAGTACCCCAAATAAAAACATTTTCAATCAGTAAACAGAGATATCAGAAATCAGAGCAGAAATCATAACATAAATAAGAGAAAACATCCATGTAATTAGGGAACACACTAGAGGTTCCAGATATTATTCGGATGTACTAGATAATCTTATCGGGTAGGGAAACACGAATCTTCAATATACCGATAGAATACTGTAAATTTGTGTCATTATCGAAAGAGTTCATTAGCTGATGGAATCATCAGTTATTCAAAATGTGATTTATCATGATAATATATTATTCAGACATTTTCGGAGGCACTAAGTAATCGGAAAGGTATTCAAAATCCTTTGTATCTGAGTTACTTGTGTTTTCAGATATGACTGGAGTGATTCCATTATTCAAGAAAATCAGAGGCATTTTGAGCATTAGGTTCTTGGAGAATTCATAGTGATTTGAGCTGATAAGGAAGAAACAAAGATTCAGAACAGAATTTACGATTTGTGTCAATATATCGGAATATCAAGTTAACTCGAGCTGAACAACTCCCAGAACTAATGCATGTCGATCGGTCAATTCGTTGCCCT